AATTTTTATTGTTCACTGAGATTCTTATTATGGCAAACAAATAAGGTTTGAATGTTCCAGAGTGATAGAGTAGACACTGACACCACCTGTGGTGTACAAAAACAATATTAAATTATTCATTAATAAAGCAACAGAAATTTAATAATTTCAGTCGGACACATATCATACAATAATACAAAATTGCAAATCAATTACTTCTACCCAGGTGGAAACTTAGGGCACCAACAGATTCCTAAAAACGTTTAGAATTCAGATGTTTGAATAAAAAGTAGGTTAAAACCATTATGAAAATTATGACCACAAAAATCCAAATGTAAAAACTCATTTATCCCCAACGTTACGGTTTTCATCTTCATCAAGTATTGAATGTCTATTGCTGTTGCATCTACAGTTCCAGTTGTACGCTACAGAAAAAAACACTATAATTATATATGCAACATGATAATATGAGATAAAAAGTGTTTATAGGAAACGTAAGTGTTACAGGGAATAAATACATTGATATATATATATATTTGTGTGTGTGTGTGTGTGTAGTTAAGTTTGTAACTCTAAACGCTAGTGAAGCAATGTAATCCAACAGGCCTAATATTTATGATAAAAAAATCACTTCCTTCCAAATTCGTATACTGCGTATTTTAATAGTGTTTCAGACAAACTTTTGTCTCTCCTTATTCAGCCAACTAACGAGTTCTTGTATAGAGCGAAAATCCCTTGAACTGTGATCCTAAGAGATAAGATATTTTTACACGCCTCTAGTTTGAAATCCATAATGTTCAAATGAACATGAATGTAAAAAAATTATTATGAATGATATTAATATATATACATGTACATACATACGTACTGTATTTGATACATACGCTGAAATATAAAGTATAAAATAATATTATCATTCAATATATAATTTCATACATTTCTATCAGTTTTGTCTCCCGGTGGGTCAGTGGTAAATTTAAGGACTTACAAGGCAAGAATTCGAGGTTCGATTCCACGTGGTGGACAGAGTGTAGACAGCCCATTGTGTTGCTTTGCACTAAGAAAAACAACAAGAATAACAATCTTTCATTTTTAGTGAAAGTACGGAAGAAACAATAACAAGTGGATAAATTACGTACAAGAACCATTAACGGATGGGGGAATCATAAGGGGTGGTCAAAATAACAAGACGAAATAAACAATAAACACTTATAGTTGTCCTTTTAGTGTGTTAGTAAAAATGATGCAGATGTCATAAAAATATTCTTTATTAAAAATATGTATTATTATGTACGGTAGTACTTAATAGTAGGGATCACCAAAGTTTCTAAATACTTCACGCCTATTCACTGCCCAAAGGATGCTGTCTCAGTGGGAGTTTGCCTGGTGATTGGAGATCAAAGGGTGTCGCCCGAGGTTTACATAACTGTTATGTAATATGCAAATTATGTCGACACCTCTTAGTTACATAACTATTACATAATTTATGCCGACACCTAAAATTATATAACTGTTACATAATAGGCACCAGAGGGCTCAACTGTCTTAAGGGAGGGATGACATCATAGTTTCACGAAGTGACACATGAGGGCGCGTTAGTATGATGAGCGTACAGATAGTTCACGAGCGAACCGCCAGAGGGTGATCTAGACCTACGTGTCTTAACTTTATAGCAATAACCATACTCTTAAAATTAATAATTTAATCTAATTTTCATAAAGATGTGTTTAAAATTATCAGTACTGAAGCTCGGCATGGCCAAGTAGTTAGGGTGCTTTACTCGCAACCTGAGGGCGGCGGGTTCGAATTCCCGTCCCACCAAAACATGCTCGCCCTTTCACCTGTAAGGACATTATAATGTGATGGTCAATACCACTATACGTTGGTAAAAGAGTAGCAGAAAACGAATTTCTCATTTTCAGAACCTAAATAGAGGTCTCCGGTGGCTTTTTAGCATGTTGTTAAAACACAGATGAAAAAAAAAGGTTTATTCACACCAAAGAGTTGTTGATTCAAAGACTTCTATTTCTTATATAAAACAATTTTAATCATTTTAAAAATTCACACTACACCTATATACTTGCAAGTTCATTCAACATATGAAGGTCACAAAAAACTCAAAACGTACAAAAGTATGTCCAGTTTAAATATAAAAAAAATCCAAGAGAATATACTTGACCTAAAAGAAATGCTTCCACGAAATTGTTTTTACCTTGTAATGGTTTCTCATAATCATACATTCAAAAGTCATTCAGAATTTTTTCAACATCACGCATTCCTTAGTGCTTGTAGGTGGCTGAATGGTTACACACACTGTGCAACTAAAATCATTCTTATTAGATGATTCAGGCACGATGTATGGGCACTTCTTTGTACATTCTAGATTGAACTTATTATTATACTTTGCAGCACCTTGATATTTTGTCAGTTTGGGTTGTTTTGATGTTAATGGACCGTCAGATACCGAACCGCATTCACTCATCTTGTTTTGTAGATTGACAACAAATGACACGCACTAGATTGTATGCGATCAGGCCCGTACGCAAAATGTTTAAAAGGGAGTTTCTAATTTGTGAGATCACAATCAACCCATATTGGGCAAAGCACAATCAGCATGCAAAGTATGCTAATGCTACGGGGCTTGGAGGCATGTCCCCCTCAGAAAATTTGTAAATATATATATATATAGGTGCTGTGAGATTAAATCTGGAAGCAATTTTACATGAAATATAGCTTAAACAATTGCGTAGCTGTTCATATAAAAGCCACAAACATCCAATGAGAAGTCAACAAATCATCATTCTGCTGTAACACTGCATGGGGAACTAGACTTAAATTAGCATAAGAAGAATACTTACACCAATTTTGTTTTATTATTAGACAAAGATTGGAGTACTGAAAAGTTTGAAATTTCCTGGAAAACTTCATGTGGCTTTAGAATGAAAAATAGATAAAGCTGGTGAATAAAATTTTAGAGCCCCGGTCTAGAGGTGCATAATGTTACGGATAAAGCAAAACATTTGCCATTTTTCATTCTGGAAAAGGGTAATAAGTATGCATGTTTTATATATAATGAGCAAACCATGTAAACAGAAAATACGTCAGTTTTTTTTTCTTCCTTTCTTTTTGTCTACAAACTTCCCGTTTTGTTTGTTTGTAAAACACTCGCTTCGGTCGTCATCGGGATTTAGGTCTTGAAGACCTGCGAGGGTCGGGTACTAACTATACCTTTTCCTCCCTCCTGAACTGTTGTTGTTTGTTGAAAAATAATTTGTGGTTTTTTAGTAAGCTGGTTTGGATGCTTATTAGTTACTGTTGCTTTATTCCTTCTCAGGGCTACGTCCGTTTATGTTATCTGATTATGTATTTGTTTATGTAGTTATATTAGCTGTGTAGTTGTGTTCTGTGGGGTTTGTGGAATTACGAGTAATTGTATGATCTGTGGGAGTAGGGTTGTAATGTGTTCAATAACGATTTTAATTATTTGTGTGATGCTGTCATCTTGGTTTTGGGAGTTTCGGTATTGTGTTGACACTGTTGTTGTTGCTCCAAGTATCGGAATTTAGGTCTTGTAGACCTGGGAGGGTCAGGTTCAAATTGACCCTTCCTCCCTCCAACACTTGATGATTGATTTCTGTTTGATATTGATTTAATTATAACAAAAGGGCCAGAGTTTAGCTAGTCCACGCTTTCACTCTGATCACTTTCTATAGCAAAAGCACTGTACTAGCTATATGCATAGTAGTTATTAAGTGTTAAATTACATTATTAATTAAATCAATTCTATACAATGATAGTGTATTACCTACTTAAACCATTGGCTATCATATATGCACATGTATGCACTACTGAAATAACATGTTAGCATGCTCCATTCTTCTTGGGTTCTTTTCCATAAATAACTTGCATACAGTTTCAATGTCGTGATAACAGTATCATAAGGATTGTGTATTAAAGCTAAAGCACTTAGTCTTTCTTCGGTTGTGTAATTATTAATCTTGCAGAGAGCAGATGCCAAACGTTCACATGAACATCATCTTAGTGGCAGTGTGGCAAAGAGTTTCAGTAACATAAAGATATTTGGTACATTAAAGCACATTTTTAAGCAGTCAGCCAGTATCTAGGGCCTGCCCTGGAGAGTTATAGAAAGCCATCTTGTCTTGCTTCATCATAAGAATGTAAACTATGTAGAAAACGTTAAGTGCTATAATCAGCTGCTCTTTAACTATATAAGTATAATTTTCTTACATCATACAAATAGGGGGGTTCGGCGGAACCTCACACCCCCTGCGTACGTGCATGGTGATAGCTCATTTCATTGTTTATCAGGCGAACATAAAACCAATTACTCGACACGATACACACATACAGCGACTTTCCATTTTAGACTGTTGCTATCCTCGCTACCCATTGCGCACGCTTGAAGTAAAGAAATAGGACCGTTCTAACAGTTTTAAGAAGAAATTTATGTTTTTAATATGATATGATGAAAAAAAAAAGAAATTAAACACTAATAATCGTGAGATTTTAGCAGCCAGTCATGAGAGAGTGATCTATGTTCAAAATGCGTGAGTCTCACGCAATATGCATAAGAGTTGACAGGTATGTTCAAAGTGTTTCATTTTAATTTTAGAATTTAGTTTACTGAATGGGACGGCCTAGATGAACTAACAAATCCCGTGGTGAGCAAATATCAAAAAACAGTTTCTAGCGTTATAAGAGCACTTGAAAAAGACGGAATCCAAAAACCCCGTTGGCTAAAATAAAATTCTACCATCTGGAGTATTGATCGTAATTTTTAAAACCATTGCAAATTTTCGACTAAAAATTGTGCAACCGTAAGAAAAAGAATCGTATGTAACAAAAAACTTAAAAATGCTATATAATTTTTTCCTATTTCTGAAGAAATTGATATTTTTTAAAAATTAAATTAGGATACACAAGTCATTTTGAATTAGATGATGAAAAAGAAATAATTAATGTGGGGGAAATTTTGTAACGCTATTTAATGATATATATACGAGCTCAAGAAATATGGTGGCGTCTCCCATAATCCAATGCTGTGTTGTCGGCATTATTTAGGGTACTGTTGAGCATGGACAGTTATTAACAAATGAATTTTCTTTATTGTTTGCCATCTTTCAGTGGTATGTAGATTTTTGACAGGGTCATCTTGCAGCTGCCTGGATTTTTGTAAATTGGAGGTAAGTTTTTCTTTTATATTTCTTTTTTAATCCATAGTTGAAATTTAACTCGCAGCATGATTTCATCAATAACTGGTGGTGGTATTCTTGAAAAAAAAAAGCATAAGAGATGGTTTTATTGAGGTTTACCAGGTTATCTATGGGATTGATTGACTGAAGGCCTCCGATTTCTTTGTGTTATATTCTTAAGATAAGAGGATGAGGGGCATAAGTGAAAGATTTGGAAAGGACAGGCTGGACTCCATAATTTTAAGACTGTTTTATTTAATAAAGTGAATGATGTACAGAATGAGTTGCCAGTGGAAATAGTGAAGCCAGCATTTTACAAAAGTTTAAAATAGGAGGGGTGATTATTAATAATAACTTATTTTAAGTTAAAGTGAGTTTCAATTTTTACTCTTCTCAAGGTTGGTTGTACATGTGTCCCCTTGTTGTCTATATGTTAAACTATTATTATTAATAATAATAATAATGCCAAGCTTAAACTCAAGAAACAAACTCAGGTTTGGATCAGATCATCAGTCTTAGACGTTACACTTATGTCTTGAACTCATTCACAATAACTGACGAAAACATTATTAAGTTAGAAAGATAACTTTCTTGACAGTTCTGATACTCACTAACACAGTAGTACTAGTAGTAGTATTGTAAAGTGTAATGAGTAGTCTAGTAGTAGTAGTAGTAGAAAATAGAGATCTTAATCCAGCCCTGTAACTGTAAGGTAACCTCCTCCTATCCTTGAAGTCATCCTATTAGCTCTCATCTGAATTGTTTTTAATAATTATGTCTCCCCCAGAGAGAGACATACTGTTTTTCAGTTGTTTCTTCCTTCTTTCTTCTGCCAAAAACTTTTCAACCAACCACCATTCCTTCATTTCTCAACAAATTGTCATGAAACTTAGTAGGATTATACCTTGGTCCAATATGCCTTTTTCGTAATTAGGCCCTTTTAAGGTTTTTTGGGGTCAAATGCAAACAACCCTAAAATGTATATTTTGGGCTCGTGTGCAGTCATATTTACAGCAATCAAGATGAAAATTGACATGAATATAAATTTTCATGACATAGAAAAAAAGTTGGACATGCACATTTT